ACTTGGGCTTCATTTAAAATTTTACTTGTCAGTCCATCCTGTGCCTTAGACTAATAATAGGAGTTTAATAATACTAATCATACCTTAGAAGTGGTAATGTGGAACATCTTGGATTGCATGAAAAAGTTATCAGCTGATTAAAATAGTTTTCATATTATTTTTCTTCTTTCACTCTCAGTGTCCTTGAAGGCAAAGATTGTGTTTTATTCATCATGTATCCAGGTGTCTAGCAGAGTGCCTACATATGTTTACATGCGCATTGTTACAGTTTCCAATGACATTTCAATTTTTAAATCTCATGTGTAACTACATGAAACATGAAAACACAGGGAAAAGATGAAAGAAAAGAAAGGATGAAAGGAAGAAGAAAACAGGCAGAAGGGAGTGAAGAGAAGGAAAGAGAAAACTGGTAAGCGTTGATAAGCTCATCTAAGATACATATTGATAGCACCCATTGAAAATATTAGAACTCAAAGCAAGCAGGCAGATAGATGTTGACAGGTGTGGTTAGCTATTGGTTGAGATGGAGTCTCTTGAACTTTTATGATCTGGCTGGCATTGAGTCATCATCCTTGAATTCCTGCCTTTCAAGCTAGGATTACAGGTGTGAGCCATCATACCTGGTTGAGTTCTTGTTTTTGTGTCTGAAAACTTTATAGTAAGTTTCTGCAAAATAGGTAGGTAGGAAGATTAATTAGGTAGATAGATAGGTCAGATAGACAGTCCATTTATCATTGGGTTTTTGTAACAAAGGTGATTATGTCTTATTTATATAAATATAGAAACAACTTTGATCAGTAACTTCATGAGTTTTCTCTTGTAGCAAAGATTAACATTTCTAAGTTCTGTGTTGTTTTTTATTTGTTGTTTTTTAGTCGATCATGGGCCCTGAACTCTGGGCCTGGGTTGCTGTCCCTCAGCTCTTCAGCTCAAGGCTAGCACTCTACCACTTAAGCCACAGTGCCACTTCCGGCTTTTTCTGCTTATATGGTGCTCAGGAATCGAACCCAGGGCCTCATGCATGCAAGACAAGCACTCTACCACTGAGCACCTTCCTGGCCCATTTCTAAATTCTTGTGCCATACAATGATCAGAGAAAAACATTATGAAATGCATTTTGTAGAACATATTTCAAAATGTCAAAGCTGTTAAGACGTGTTATATAGATGGAACTGTTTAAAATACACTAAATAATAATTAAGGTAGATTTTAAGTATAGAATTGAACAGATTTTGTATCTTTCCATGTATTATCTTTTTTAAAATGTCGTCTTCATATATTCTATGAACAGTTTTCAATTTAACATGTCCCTTTATGTGAAGAATGCATCTTGATCATTCATGCCTTTCATTGTTCTCCCCTTTCCCATTTCAGCCTTTATTAGTAATATAATCAGTTGTTAATCTTATATGCTATTCATTATCATGAGACAGGAACAGTAATTTTTTAAGGAATGTTTGAAAATAGGCTGTGGCCAGTAGTATAGAGTGGCTAAAAAGCTAGTACAATAGATAATTCTGATTGTTTTGCTTTATTTTTCATAATGTATATCACTTACCATATGCAAGTCTTAATTTTCTTAGCAGTTATTTTCATAGTGATATTAGTCTTCAGAAGTTTTTGTTTGTTTGTTCTGTTGGTTTTTTGAGATAGGTCTTGCTATATATGTAACCCCGGGTGGCCTCACGCTCGTCAACGTCCGGCTTCAGGCTCTGGAGCGCTGAGGTTGCCAGCATCCACTATCACACATGACCAGAATTCAGATTTTTTTAGTTAGAAGCTTTAAAGGGTTCAGTTTGAACTTTTTAGTAGTATTGTAACTCCCTTTTATTTCCTCAGGTGGGGGGGACCAATCAGTGTTTTGCGCACAGTAGGCCAGCTCTCCCCCTGAGCCTCATCCTCAATCCTTAGAATAGTCACTTTCTATCAGGTAAAAATATGTACTATGATTGATTGCTATTTGATGTTATTACTAGTTTCTTCACTTCCCTGCAGGTTCATGCATTATTTTGCTTTGTTCCTGTTAACTTTGTTTGCTCCAGGATCACACTGACTTATATAATCATACCTTTTTGCCATTTGAATTTATGGTAGCTATAAATTATATATTTTCTTAGTTCATCCTTTTCTCCCTAATGACCTGTAATTAGAATTATACCTAATTCTATGTGTTAAGAAGCATGCTGTTTAAATTTCTTGTGATCTAGCCCCGTTTTTATTTTTCATTGAAGCCTATTTGACACTTACTTTCTACTTAAAAATCTTTGGACTAGGCTGGGAATATGGCTTGGTGGTAGAGTGCTTGCCTAGCATGCATGGAGCCCTGGGTTCCATTCCTCAGTACCACATAAACAGAAAAAGCCAGAAGTAACACTGTGGCTAAAGTGATAAGAGTGCTAACCTTGAGCAAAAGAAGCCCAGGGACAGTGCCTAGGCTCTGAGTTCAAGCCCCAGGACTGGTGATAAATAAAATATCTTTGAACGAATGTATACATATATAAGAATATGTATTCTCTCCAATTTATACATTCATATATTCTTCACATCCAGCTTTAGTGTGGACAGTGTGGCTGACCTACAAACATCACAGTTAGCATTTTCTAGAATAATATTCTTTTAGGATGACAAGCCATGTTTTAGTGAGTACTTTTCAGGTTGTAATGCCTTGTGTTGACTCTAAGAATGGCAAGAATACCCAGATGTATGTGAAACGATGGTAAATCACTCTGCACAGTAGCAGTGTTCACTTCAGAATAGAAGCAACTCTGTGGAAAGACCTTGGGTAAAAGCCATCCTATTCTGTGTGTTTCTTCTCCTGCATGGGACTTTGATTGTGGTTATTGGGGACACCCTGGTGGTCATATCAGGTGTAAACGTCATCCAAGTATGTCTTCAGTGTCTGCCACATGTGTATCAGTGATTATAAAGTAGATAAAACTGAAACAGATTCATTTGGGATTTCACATTCTCTGAAGGTTAATTTTAAAGCAGAACAGCAGAAAGAGTAGTGACATGAATCCATGAGCTATTGTGAAGATTTGACAGTTACTCCTAGTCCTTTGGTTAAAGTGACAGCATGCCTACAGTTTTAGCCCTATTAGCGTCTTCTTGAATGTTAGTTAGCCTGTAGTCTGGGTAGTGATAAATGTTAGTGATGAATGATTTTATAGTCCCAGAGGATTTGGGTGGTTTCTGGTTTCTGCCAGGCAGAGCAGTTTTTCTGTCTTATTTGGGCCTCATGTAAGTTTTTCTGATCTTTGATATGATGGTTTTAATTTAGGAGAGGGGTGGTTGTCACTTGGAGTTTTCATTAACTAGTATTCAAAGTTCTATTTAGAAACAGTATCATTTTGGAGGTGATGATATACTTTGTGTAAGAATCTGAGAACTGGGGCTGGGAAGGTGGCTCAGTGGTAGAGCGCTTGCCTTGCATGCATGAGGCCCTCAGCACCACATAAGTAGAAAAAAAAGCCGGAAGTGGCACTGTGGCTCAAGTGGTAGAGCGCTAGCCTTGAGCTGGAGAGCTGAGGGACAGCGTCCAGGCCCAGAGTTCAGGCCCAAGACCGGATCAAAAAAAAAAAAAAAAAAGAGCAAGAATCTGAGAACCAGGATAGTTTTTTAATCTGTAGGAATTTTGGAACTTTATTATCTTTTCTCCCTTTGTTTTTGCAATTTTTTTATTGTGGTTAAGTGATTACAGAAATTTGAGAAATTTCACAGTATTGTGGGATAGTGATACTTAGTTCAAGTCACAAATACATTCTAACCTTCATGGGGCAAATTGTTTTTATTGTGGACATTGATCAAAGAGAACTAAGCAACTCAGTAGCAGTGATGGGAAGGAGGGAATGAGTGGGGAAAGAGGGAACAGCTGACACTAAGCAAAAGGAAAGAAATTAAATATCACCCGATGTGGAAGAAATAACTGTATTGTCAAAGCTCATAGAACTCCCTTTGTTTTAAAATACATATGTTAAAGTACAAAAAGAAATTTAGTAACAGCTATTATGAAATCATAATATATTTTTGTGGTCTTGCATTTTCAGACATAAATGAGCTGTTTTTATTAAATATTTTTTTACATGGCTCAGTTTCTATGAGATAATATACTAGTTCTAAAAGGAGTTCAAATAAAAATTTTGTTGTTGTTAAATATATTGTTTGCTATTTAGCAAAGGGTTTATTTTCAGTATATTGTTGGTGAGTTAGTTTTAGAAATACAGATAATGGATAATTTCTATTATTTTAGCTAAGGCTACTGAAGGATCCCTCACATCCATGCCAGGAGACCACACAGAGGCAGGCAGGCACAGGAGAAAGATTATTATAAGGTTTATTAGAGGAGCGATATTTCCCCCAAGAAGGGAGCAAATGGCACCTGTCCCTATCTAGGTAGCAGAAGGATCTGGGGCAGGAAGTGAAGTAAGTGGGAGCTCAGGTGGGTCTGGGCGGAAAGAGGGAAGTGGCCAGCTGTTTTGCAGGAGCTCCAGGGCTGGGAGGAGCTGTGGACCAAAGGTGGGGATAATACTAACTGCTGCAGTTGTGTTATGCTTTGTAAAGCTTGGGAAGAGAGGAAGAGTGGGAAGATGGACAGAGCGGTTTTTGTTTGTTTTTGTTTTTTTTTGTAGTTCTTTGCAACTTAGAAGTAGATTTTCTCTCCTTTTTTTTTCTTAATCCATAGAATTTGTCTTTTGGAGATAATTTTAGTAATCCTTTATAAAATTTGTATAGCTCCCTTTCACTTTGCAAACAGCATACTTAGCTAGTATTTGTTTTCAGAAATTCTTTAATTTTAAGAACAATAAATTTAAAAGTAACCTTTTTCTTTTTACTTTAAAACCTTAGGAGTAAAAGCAGCTATTTAGGTTTTCAAGTGATTAACCAGAAACTTTGTTAGGAATGACCGGTTGTCTGTACTTCAACTAGGTGAGTGTTGTGCTGCTCAATTAGCATGACTATCACATAATCTCTTTTAATACTCTGGTCTTTCTTTCCCCTAGGGTTTTACAGACAGCCCTCATTACAGTGATCACTTGAATGACAGTCGATTAGGGGCCCACGAAGGCTTGTCTCCAACACCTTTCATGAACTCAAATCTGATGGGTAAGTTGATTTTTCTATAAGTAGTCTTCCTAAAGCCTATGGCTCTGAGTTTGTTTTATCCCTTTATCCAAGGACATGTAAGTATCTAGAAGGAAACCCCTGATTTCTTAGAGTCTGGAGCTTTTCTTCTTCAGTCCAGCTTGAGTGCCATCATTCTGAAATTTGGGGCCTTCTCAGAGCACTGTTGTTTTTGGCGTCAAACAAGAGGTTACGGTGTTTGAACTGTCAGCTTTGACAATGTCTGTGTGACCTCAAGTATTATATGTTTTCTGGGGGGACCAAGAGGCATTATTTCAGGGGTTCTTGTGAGTTAGTATTTGTTTTTTTTTTAATTTAATTTTATTTTATTTGTGAACATACTGTACAGAGGGGTTACAATTGCATGGGCAGGATAATGTGTACATTTCTTACCAAGCATTGCAGCCTCCTCCTTTGTTTACCCTTCCCATCCCTTCCCAGCCTCCCCCCTCCCCCCCATTAGTATTTGTTTTAATGCATGTTATACACATGTGATTTTAGGCAGATTTTGGCACTACTTGATTAAAATTTAATATTTCCTTTAGCTATTACAGAATTTGTTTTTAGTACTTGGGTTCATCTTGAGGATGTTTGAAAATCTTCTGCAAAATGGAAGAGTACTATGAGGGTCATGACACAATCCCCTAGCCATATGTGTATGGCTCGTTTGTTTGTTTGTTTTCCTGCTACTCCTTACTCAATGCGAAGCCTCATTTTTCCCCTTTCTCAACTGCACGTTTTTAAGTTACTGAGTCCAAAATAAGCCCATTTTCCCCCCAGTTTGCATGCCATTCTTTTTTCTTTTTTTAGTTAAACAAGCAATTTGACCTCTTGGCAAAACCTGATTGAAAAAAACCATCTATGACATTTTTTTCTTCTTGTTTATGCTTTGGCTCAGCACATTAGAAAAGCTTTATTCAGTCTTCTACTGATTGCCATTGACGTCATGTAAATTTGGAAGGCTTGTGTAATTGACACTGATTTTATTACTCACTCTATTTCTTAGGGATGTGACCTATATTTTGATCTTAGAATTGTCCTTTTGAGACACAGCCAAGCTAATCTAAGTAGATTACTCAAATCCAAAATCTGGTGGTCTGCAGATTCTTTCTAAATGACTTTGCTCTGAACAGTCTTTGTTTGTCTCCTGCACCTGATAGTCTTGTGGATTTTGCCTAACATAACTACAGTTTAAAGCCAGACATTTTGAGTTTGATACAAGAATTAAAAGGACATGGATGTAATCATCAGAAGTTATGGTTAAGATTACCATTTATTTTAAAATAAGGGCCAGTGAAAACCATAGTATCAAGCATATTATTTCAAGTAAAACTCAAGAATTGAATTTGAACAAAATGATTAATTGGTTCATTTATTTTAAATTTTGTCTTTTAAGCTTACCGTCAAAGGAAAGTAGACACCTTTTGCACTGTATCTTTTCTCTAAGAATTTACACTAAGTATAGCAGAGCAATTTAAAGTTAGCCTTTTTGTAGTTCTGGGATATAACTAAGCTTTCTTAATTGAGGTCCTTCCTCTGAACTGTAAATCATTATAAATTGTCCTTTTTGTATTCTTGTTCTTGCCTTTATTCTTTGCTCACAGAGATAACTCTTAGGCACAGTGAAATTGCATCATTAGCACAGCTTTAAGTCCCCGTGACTACTATAATTGTGGGGAAGAAATCTTTGATTTCAGTGACATCTAGACAGTATGGGATGGATGTCAGTTACTTGTTCTGTGCAGCTATTGACTAAAAATATTTCTAAAATTCAGTTTGAGGTATCATCTAATTTGGAGCAATTATCCATTTAAATGGATAAAGATTAAAAACCAACCCATGTGCTCATCAAACTACTTTTTTGTAGTATATCAACTCCATATAGACCATTTATTTATTGTGAGTCTTAACTACCTAATTTTGGTGTGTATATAAAAAGGGAGAAATAACCCTGAAATCGTTAGGAATCTATGTTCAAAATTCATTGGCCATTGACAATGTCTGATTTTGCCACTCTTCCTTCACTTTATTTTCAATAAAAACAACTGAATGAGGTTTCTCAGCGGAGCTGTCTACGTGGCAATAGTTTGATTTTGGAAATGATTATCTCTGAAATTGTAGTGCAGTTTTGCCCCTGCAGCAACAGACAATCCAACTTGAAATGAGACAAAGGAATTGAACCACTAGATGCATGAATGTTTGGGTTTGTAACACTCGATAATGACAACAGATAGTTTCACTTTTCTAGCTCCTTGTTAATTTAAGGACATTTCAGGCTAAAAAAAATAAATGGAAGCTTTGCTTCTAATGTACATGGCAGATTAGAAGCATTTGAATTGTTCATAACTGTAACAATAGGTGACCTTGAGAATGGCGTTTGAATGGTGAATGCTCAGAAATAGTTAAAGCTAGGAGAAAAGCAGTTACATACTTCATCATTGATGTCAATGTAGAAGAAACACCATTAAGTTTGGGGGAGAGATTGTACATCTAGGGAATGTTTTGAGTATTATGTTCAACTATAAGCACATTTGCCTGCAGAAAGAGTGGTTTATAAAGTGCCACTGTCTTTTATGATGGAGCTTTCAAATACTTTAATGATTTTATACATTGCAACAATGAGAAATATGGTCTAACAAGGGTTGATAATGATTCAGTAATGAACAATTGGCCACAGATACTGTATTTCTGTATTCATTTAGATATTTTGAAGTGTATTAATGTAGGAAGTAAAGCTGTTACACTGGATCAGTTAGTGTTTCTTTTTAAGAATTTCAGAACTACTCTTGATTTGTCAGTATGGAATTGTGGAGGGTTTTTCTTATGTTTCAAGTAAGTATACCCTTTTGGTACATCACTAGGCAATTAGCATCCACAGTTCTGTATTGTATTGCATTAAAGCTTTGTGTCAAACTTTAACCCTAGCAATTAGTAATATTCCCAGCCTTGACTCATTTCCAGCTTTGGAAGCAAGCTTTCCACTCTTGGTCCCCTCAAGAATTCAGTAACAGTTGTTTACCTTTTCCTTTGGTAATTAGTCATTTTTGGTCATGATGAGGGTTGATTTATTAATTGGACACCGAAATAAATTTTTTCACAAAATTGTACATCTTTTGATTCTTAAGTTATTATGGAATCAGTTACTGCCGTCTTTTCAATTCTTCCAGGTTTATCAAAGATTTACTTATTTTAAGCAGCATATATGTCTGCATTGTCTTAAATAGAAAATTTAAGACATAAAAGAATAACTTGTTTGAATCCTCCCCCCACCCCTTTATTTTGGGAGAGGGCACACTGTTCTTGAGCCTCTTTCTGCTTAAGGCTAGCATTCTACCACGGGAGCCACAGTGCCGCTTCTGGTTTTTTTCCTGAGAAGTTGATTGGAGATGAGAGTTTCACAGACTTAAGCCTGTGCTGGCTTCAAGCCATGATCTTCAAATATCAGCCTCCTATGTAGCTAGATTACAGGTGTGAGCCACTGGTACTTAGCATGAATTTTTCTTTTTGTCTGAAACGTTTGATTATATTCCTTTCTGATACCTGTTTTCCCTGTAGAGATGGCTTGTTAATATTTTCTTGAAAAGTGAAATCAACATGTGATCGAATATAAGGAAATTCAGGGCTAAAAGTTAGAAATTGAAAATAACCATTACCTTTCTGATAGAGTAATGTTAGGTATCCCCAAAGGTATTCAGCAGTTCTAGAATTTTCTAATGTTATAAATACATATATTTAATATTCATTATACAACTCTGAACAAAACCCTGCCCTTAGAATTGTAATTGTTCAAGGCTATTGTCATGAAACCTCTGCTTAAAAATATGGACTTAGAAAAAACCAGTGGTCCTTCCATTGAACTAGGATCTCCTTTGATGGCAGCTACCAATTTTATTTCCATTTTATTGGCAGCTAAATAGATATTTAAGGGCTTTTCTGAGAACTGAAATCTTGTTATACTATTTTCCTATACAGTTAGTAATTCAGATCGCCAAGTTTCAAGGATAAGTCTTCTGTATAGATGATACTGCCTGTTTTATTTTATGATATATCCAAAATCTAGAAATACAAAAATTGTATTAGTCATCATTTTCCAAATGTCAAAAGCATAATAAAACTCTGCCATCAGAGGTATCTAACTTTAATATATATTAATTTCCTTTGCTAGATCAGATAATGAAAATGATTATGTTTATGAGAATGAACTAGTATGACTTAATGTCTGATTTGGTAATATTTCATAAGTGTGAGTTCTTCATGCTTTTTCAGTGTTGTATTAACTCCAAATCTCATGAAAATATGTGAGTCTATCTTCATTGATATGCAACCTCTGGATTTGGCTGCTTGCAAACACAGAATGTTGGCACTGGAAGAAACTTGAATGAGAGAGATCTAGTAAATTGAAGAGACAAGCCCCCCCCCCCCACCAAAAAAAGAAGTGACTATTTGAAAAAATGGCCCTAACACTCTTGATTCTAATTTAGCTTGCAGTCTAGTCCTATTATGTCATAATACCTTTCCCCCCATTTTTACATCAAATGATTTAGTCATTTGCTGCTTTTTTCCTCCATTACAGCTCTTACAATGTTTTTTACTCCTCTTCGTACTGCCTAGATGGTCATTGACCGGTTTGACTCGTGTGGAAAATAGCCATCTCCTTTGTGAACCTATTCATCTAGTTGTTCTGCCCTTTACTGTGTGAAGGTACTCTATACTGGAAAATAAAAGTAAATAATACTCACTCTATCTTTACAGTCTTAACTATTCTAGTGTGGCATGGGGCTGGTAAGAAATTCAGTAATTCTACTAGGCAGATTATGAGTGATGTAAAAAAATTTTTTTGGAGACTTTCAGGAATTAAGTTGAGGCATAGCCATAAGTAATCAGAGAAAGTTTTATGGTTAGAGTAAAATTTAGTTAGACATGACAGAATCTAACTTAAACTAGGTGATATTTATGACATATATTCAGGAAGGCTAGGACTT